GGCGGCGATGAAATTTCAATATGACAAGGTTGCGTTTTGGATTCAATTTTGGGTTTCAAAATGGTCTTTGTCTATTACCCAAATAAAAATCAAACCCCCTTACCTAATTGCGGAAATTGCTTATATTATGTGTGTGGTTTTATATACAATGTTGCTTATCTTCTGCTTTTTGCCTGTGTATGTATTTTTATGCTTGTATGAAATTTTTTATGTATGTATGTATGTATTTTGTATGTTGATGTTGTATTTTGTTGTATGTATTTTTTATGTTGTATGTATGTGTGTATTATTTTTTGTAGTATGTATGTTTGTATTATGTTGTATGTATGTATTTTTAAGTTGTTTTGTATGTTTTGTAGTATTGGTAATGTTTTTGTATTATTTTGTTGTTGTATGTATGTTTTTAATGTTGTTGTATTATGTATGTAGTATTTGATTTTTTTATGTATTAGTATTTTGTTGTATGAAAATTTTGTATTATTTTGATTATGTATTTGTATTCTGTATGTATGTATTGTTGGATGTATGTATGTATGTCTGTATTTAAGTATGTATGTATGTACTGTTGTATGTATGGATGTATGTATGTATGTATGTATGCTATGTATGTAATTCATGTATGTTGTAGTATGTAGTAGGTCTGTCGTGTATGTCTGTATTCTGTCTGTCTGTATGTCTGTCTGTAGTCGGTCGTCCAACCTGGTTCACCCCCCCAACACCCAACCCAGGTATTCTGTATGGTCTTATGTAGGGATGTGTGTATGTAATGTATGGTGATAGTAGTATGTATGTCCTGTGGTGTTGGTGTGTGATTATGTGTGTATGGATGTAGGGTGTGTGGGGTTGTGGGTGTGGTGTGTGTGGGTATAGTATGTAGGTATGTGGGGTTGGGGTGCGTGTAGTGCGGGTGTGCGTCGGCGTGCGTGCGTGCGTGCGTGCGTGCGTGCGTGGTGTAGTGCGTGCGTGCGTAGGCGTGCGGCGTGTAATAAGTGTGTGTGGTGTAATTGTATGTAAGTATTAATGTGATGGTGTATGTATGTATGTATTTAGGTGATGCATGTATGTATGTATGTATGTATGGATGTAGATATGTAGTATGTATGTAGATATGTGTGTATGTCTTTAATGTATTGTCTGATATTATGTAGTGATGTAGTAGGTATGTATGTATTTATGTTATGTTGTATGTGTGGTCTGTATGTTAGTATGTCTGTATGTTGTGTGTCTGTATGTCGTATGTATGTCTTTTATGTAATTATGTATGTATGAGTATTTTTGTGAGTGATCTTTTGTTTTTGGAGTGGTTAATTTTGAGTTTGTTTGTGTTTTTTTTTTTGTTTTTTTTTTTTTTTTGTTTTTGGTTTGTTTTTGTTGTTGTTTTTTTGTTTTTTTGTTTTTTTTTATTTGTTGTTGTTGTCTTCTGTTGTATGTGTTGTTGTTTTTGTATGTATTTGTTGTTTTGTTTTGTATTTTTGGGGCGATATGCATAAAGAGGGTTTTATTTTTTTTATTTCCCCTACTCATGCGCGTCCGAAGTCTAAATAATTTTGGCTCGTAAAGGTTTTAGAAACTGGGGGGAATTCCCGTGTTAGTAAACAAGACTAGATGAGGTGGTAAACAGTTACGATCATACAATGTAATAATTGCTATGCTACTATGTGATTGGCAAAAAAAAAAAAAACACACACACAAATAATATAAGTTCTCTTCCTCGATGAACAGTTAGTTGGCGTAGGCAAATTCATGCTTGTGGGGCAACACAGTCACCTGATGTGTCTGGTAGATGACAGTCTTCAGTGATCCGATCTGCCGTTTGGTTGCTCCTCACGAATGGGAAATATATCTTCAAGGCGTGGGTGCCCAAAACATTGGATTTGGGACAAGGCCCTTAACATTCCACTCAAAGTGGTTAACTGTTTAAAGTGTTCATGTATAGTCTCTCCTTGACTAGCTATAGAAAATAACTTGCCATCTAGCGGCTTATACTACACAATTGTAGATCTGCCTTTCACTTTGTTGTGGGTATGACGTGACACAGCCGGGCTGGAACGAGACAATGAGCAAAATAACCACTTGTGTGAGTGTGCCTCTAAAATTCCTGGCTACTATACATAATAATTAACTAACTTCCATCACCATAGCTTCAGACAACTCTATTCATTTGAGTTGTCACATTGCCTTAAATGTGAAGCAAACATTTTTTTTTTCACTAACCATGTGACTGGCTAAGAAGGTCCTGCACTGGTTATGAAAATCATGACAATTTATGTATATACATATACATATATATATATCCCACCTATATGGTCCAATACATTTATATCTTTCAATCGTACCAATGGGTTTAATACTTTTCCAAGTTACACTCCCACTCATGTGGTTTAATCCATTTACAAGTTACAATACCCTTATGTAGTTTAATACATTCATCAGTTATAGTCCCACCAATGGGATTTAATAAATTCACAAATTACCATTCCACCCACATGTGGTTTAATACCTTCATCAAGTAAATCCCACCCACTTGGTTAAATGCATTCTAAAGTTTATGGTCATACATCATTCTCCAAAGTGACATCAATTCCCCAATTACCCTAGGTTCTCTTAAGTATATCAATTCATTAAGTTGAAATAAAATAATTCCCCAAAATCTAAGCCATGCTCCAAAGATCCATGATTTCCCTGATCACCCTGGATATTCTTAACAATATCAATTACTTAAGTTGAAATATAATAATGCCCCCTAATCTAAGTTCTTACGCTAAGAAGGCAATTCTCGATAATGGTAGCATTGAATCAAATGCTAAAGATCAAAATAAAAATATCAATCGTACAAACGACAACATATAAGAATCATAATCACCTACCCCTTGTCTGAATGTAAATCACTCTTAAACTCGCGAGATTCGACCTGATCTTCATCATCAGGTGCCTTGCAATCTGGCGTGGGCGATCATGCCTCTCCATAATCTGCGATCGCATGCAGCATGTATCAGTTCGTGTGCCGACACACCTCCATGCAATGCAACAAGTCTGTTAAGCATCTTCACTCGTTGTCTTCCTCTATCCCTCCTTCCACAGATCTTTCCAGTGGTCACATCATGTTCTATTTTCCCTCTTTTCATAAATTGGCCGAAAAATGATGACTGTCTCCTTCCGATGTCTGTGATAAGTTGTCTTCGGGCTCCCGCCTATTTCAAAACCTCTTGGTTGCTCTTTTTGGCTGTCCAAAGTATTCTAAGCATTCTTCTGTAAAACCACATCTCTGAGACCTCTATAAATTGTTTGGCCTGCCTACCGATTGTCCAGGATTCACAGCCATATGTTAAAGCTGGATGTATGTAGCAAGCAAGAATTCTTTTTCTAACTCTCAATGACAAGGATATATTGCACAAGATGTTTTTTATTTTATAAAATGCAGTTTTGCCTGTCTTATTCTGTTTGTTATTTCAGTTATGCATCTCCCATCTGATGTTATCCATGTGCCCAGATACCTAAATTTGTGTTCTTGTCCCAAAAAAACACCATCGACTTTTATTACACATTTAGAAATAATTCGTTTCTTTGATACCACAATTACTTCAGTCTTCTTATTATTCAAACTGAGGCCCACTTTTCCACTTTCTAACACCCCTATGTCTATCATTTCCTGTAGTTTTTTCTGACTTGTTGCTATCAAAACTGTGTCATCAGCATAACGTAAATTGTTTATATTGTGCCCACCAACCACAATTCTGGGCATATCAATTAAAGATCTCATTATATATTCACTGTATATTGAAAACAAATCAGGTGACAGTACACATCCTTGTCGTACGCCCCTCTTTATGCTTTGAAATTTACCTAAACAGTTGTTAATTCTTATAGCTGCTGTTTGCTGCCAATACATATTCTTTATTATTCGTAGATCTTTTCCATCAATGTTTATTTTTCTAACAGTTAGATTACTTCTTCATGCTTCACACAGTCAAATGCTTGTGTATAGACTATGAAGCATAAGTACAAATCAGTCTTTACTTCTATAGCTCTTTCTGACAATGTCCTTAGGATGTATATGGTATTGTTTGTACCTTTTCCTACTACAAATCCATATTGTCCATCGCTGATTTCTGGTTTAATTTTGTTTCGTTTTCTTCCCATAATTATTCAAAGTAAAATCTTAGACATGTGACTCATAAGACTTATTGTGCGGTGATCTTCACATTTTGTAGTGCCTGGTTTCTTTCGCAGAGCTATACATATGGATTTTAAAATGTCATTTGAAATATACCCACTATTATAAATATCATTTAAATGTTTAGCGATTATTTCAATTCCGAAATCTCACAGAGCTTCTATTTCTTCCAGTGAAATGTTGTCTGGTCCGCGTGCTTTTCCTTTCTCCATATAATGTATTGCATCCTCAACTTCTGTAGTCATTATTGGTGGACCATCAATGTTGGTCTGTAGTTCTACATCTGGTCTATAATCATCATACAGTTTCCCTGTATACTCTGTGCATCTGTTAATTATATTACTGTGTCCCAATAACAAGTCACCAACTTTTGATTTCACACATCCAGTGCTGTTACGAGTCATCTTTCGTGTTAACATATTTATCTGTTGGTACATGGATTGTGAGTTTTCCTGTGATTTCCCCCAATCTCTGTACACATTTGATTCAGCCAGGCTTTCTTTAGCCACTTTGCATTTGTTCACTATTTCTTTTTGTATTCTAGAGTATTCTTCTT